ATCATCCTTGACTACTGTCTTCCACACATGACAGTTCCTCAGCAAATTCCTTCTCTTTAAAATGTACCAATTTCAGCAACTTCCACTGCTATCCTGATCCAAGTTGTCCTCATCTCTCATCTCTTATTATTATAGTTAAGTTTCTAACTGATTTCCTTGTTTCTATCTTTTTCACCCAGTCTGCCATTCACACAGAAGCCTGGCTAATCCTTTTAAGAATTTACAGTTTTCAGAAGATCAGTATAATAATAATATCCTGAATGATCCTTTTGAAATGACAGTCAGATCATACTACTTTTCTAAACTTCATATACATGTCATTCAATCAACTTTTGAATATGTGAAAAAGACTGTTTAACAAGCTACATCAGGTCAAAGGAATTATGGATTAGGTTATTTCTTAGGATAATTTTGAAAAGCTATTTTTCAACATGAATCAATATTCCAGTGGTATTCATTCTTTGAAGTTGTAATTCCATCGCAATTTACAATTTCATTTATTTGGCCTTGTTAACAAAACATACAGAATTACTTTGCTTAGCCAAATCTATCCTACTAGAACTCTTACCTTGGGGATTCAGCAATAATTTAAATAATGATCATTCTTCAGCTATATATATTACATGCCCTGTAATTATATTCTCTTAATATTGCATGAATTATAATATAATAATGCTGTATACAAAATATACTTGATATTATACAAACATCTAAATTTAAAGTTCTCAGTTATTATGATAAATATAGGTCTGTATTAATAAATGAAAGAAAAATTTAAAGAAAAAATATATAAGCATACACTCTATAAATAGTATGCTTTGCTTTCCTATGGTCTAAAACACACACAAATATACAGTTGTGTAATCAAATATGGACTTAATTTCATGACAGTATGCTCATATTTATCTTACATTAAACCTCTCCAAAAATGAATGATTTCTAGCTGCTGCTAGAGGTTCACAGATACTCAGTTTAGTAGAAACATAAATAAATTAGGCAATAGCATTTTACCTCTGTAACAATGCATATTAAGGGCTGTTTTCATCTGGCTATAAGATCACAAAGGATAATTTTTAAAAAATCCATAACTAAGGTATTCCTCACAAATTGAAAAAGCAAGAGCAAAAATATGAAAGCAGCATTGCAAAATTTTGCTCATATTATCCATTTTTTCGTCCTATGCATGCTCCTTTGTATTAGACGCAGAGGGACTTCTCTCCTTGGGCTTCCCTTAACCTGAAGATAAACAGGGAGGTGGATCCTCTTTTACTTGTCTGATCCATCCCTGTTCCTTAAAAATACGCTTTATCTATGAATTTTCTCTAATAAGCATAATAAACTTTAAAATGGAGAGGTCATATTGAGATTTTTTTCATACACAGTAGCTTTCAAAGGCTAAAAAATGACATTATAAGCTTGTTTTCTTTTAAACTAAGTTATGTCTTTATGTTTCTAATGTGATATGCGGATCTTCAATTACCCCACGTCTACTGGATATAGGTTTTTCTCTAAGGTGGTTTAATCATTTTGATAAAAACACTGTGTAAAGAGAATGCCTAATGACTGGGTTAAACATGCTATTTCTTTGGCATTTCTTTTATACTTAATTCATACCTTTGGCACAGCAGAAATGGAAAAAATTACCTGGAGCTTACTGACACAAATGATAGTACAGAGTCATAATAGATTTTCTTCAAGTGTCTATACATTACAAGTTTAAGTTACTATGTATCTGACAAAAGTAATTTGTTAAAGAGTATTTCTAAAACTATTTATCTGACATCTATTCAAAAAGCATTTTCTGCACTTAAATTAGACTGGCCATAGAAATTTGCTAACCTTTCACGACACGGTGACTTAAAAATCCATTAAAGCTTAAAAAAAAAATGCACTACTTGACTTTTCTGTGATTCTAAGAGCAAACAGCTATCTAACATTTTCAGGATCATTAAATTAAAAATGATAAGGAAAGAAAATCATTAACTAATTTATATTTCTCTTCTAATGGGAATAGAATTAGTAATTACTTTTGCTGGTGAAACATTCTGTAGTCAGTCACTTGTATCCAAATCACATGCTTATCATTCAAGGTATGGGGCCTACTGACCGTAAATTACAAAATCTTGCAGTTGTATTTATAGAATAGTATTAATAACAAGTGACACAGAATCTTCAGGCTTCACCCTGCAAACTTTTATTCTGAAATTTCCTTTTCCTATGCTGCATTTGCTTTTTCGACTTTTTGTAAACTAGAACCAGGGTTAGCCCTGTACCTCACACACTGTAACACAATAAATATTTACTAAACTAATGTGTGAACCAATTTGGGCATTTGAAAAAAAGATGAGAAAGTAGGTACAAGCTTGTGTGATTAAGACTTAAATTCAAAAAAACATGAAATACATGGAAGTTATAATGATAAGCAGTTATAATGTGAAGTTTTATCTTCTTCATAAGACAATTTATAAGCATACAAGGAATTAATTCCTTTTTCATTCCACCTGCTGCCCTTGTTAAAATTACTGTAAAAACCATGGTTTGAAAAATTTGAAGCTACATTCACTTCATCTACCTATTTCCTCAATGGTACTACTGATCCAGCTGACTTCTTAAGATCATATTAACTTGTTTAAACTCAGACAATATATCCATTAGTACCAGCTTGTATGACATTTATTATATTTTTTCCTAAACAGTTGCAGTGAAGAACAAGGTAACAGATTGTATTCCTTAAACAAAAAACTATGAAACCAACAATAAAGCAGTTTATCAAATTTTAAAAAAAGGTACATCCTTGACAAAAAGACCTCTAAAATTATATAGGATTGTGTTTTACAGTATTTAAATTTGATTTAGTAATTGTCTGTATCTCCACTGACATGAGTTGTTATAATGTATATGTTGTAAAGCACACTTTTTAAGAGGGACCCAAGAACAGGACACTAGTTTACCTGCAGGATTACTTAACTCAAGAGGCAATATTTCTGATAACTTGAGTTTAACCTCAAGCCATCATTTATTTTTCTCAATTATAGAATGCTATATCCCTAAAAATAGTAGTATGCTATGATTAAAGTGGTTGGCAATTCTAATATATTTGGCTAGATTGGCAACCAATCAAATGCATAGGCAAAAAATTTCCGTTTAGAATTAGGCAAACAGAAGTATGAACTTATCCACTCTTTAAGCTTATATTGTGAATCTCAAGTAAACTTCCTGGGCCCTTCCTTCTGTTACAACGAGAGTATAGTTGTAACACCGCTTTCTTTCATCAGCAGATGAGGTGTCCTATGCCTATTCTTACAGAAGGGGCTGCTCTGCACACACTAACCAGAGGCCTCAGCTTCCCATCACAGGCAGTATTCCAAACAGAAACAGCCAGGAGTGTCCCGAAACTGTAAACTGATTCCTAAACACAAGACGTGTTTAAGAAAGAGAACTTCAAAAAAAAGTTAGTGGCTCTTGCTTGTTCAATTAGAAATTCTCCTTATATTAGCTGGAGTTTCAGAGTAGATCAACACAGAGAAAGCAGTTGTTCCCAGATCTTAAAATAGCACAGATTGAACATTTAACCTTTCTGCTGCCCAGTCAGAGTCTAATTACTATTTTATATTTAAACACACACACACACACACACACACACACACACACACACTTTCTGTCTCTCTTTCTCCTGTATTTCTCATAATGGAATAGAACACAGAAGTAACACAAATTCACTGATTTTTAAAAGTGGGAATCTAGAGAAAAAGGTATTTGCAGGAATTTAAATGAATGATGTCAACTAGACAAAATCAAATATTCTATGAAAACATTGGTCCTTCAAAGTGACTCTATTTTAAGCAATTGCCCTTTAGTAAAAGATCTAGGGCCTCTTTAGATTATTTATGATGAGGGATAATTATATTTTCTAATCCTGATGTTATATTTAGCAACTGACTAAGGCTCTATAGAGGACATGAACTCCTGGGCACTTAGAATAACTGTGTCTCCCCCAGATTTGTCACATGCTCACTGTTTATAAGTAACCTGGTTTATTTACTAGATACTGTCAATGCCTCCTACTAGCATTATAAATATAAATTACTGAAGCTTAGTCAGCAGGATTGCCCTAAGTATAGTGGCATTTTCTGTTTTCCTAAAGAATATTTAAATCCTTCTCTGTTTCAAAGTTATGCACAGTTGCCCCTCCATATCCCGGGGCTCTGCTTCAGGCAGATTCAACCAACAGCAGATTGAAGATATTTGGGGAAAAATACAGCAGAAAGTTCCAAAAAGCAAGACTTAAATCTGCCAGTGCACCAATCATTTGCAGAGCATTTACACACCATATACACTGTACTTACAAATATTCACATAGCACTGACATTGTATTAGGTATCATAAGTAATCTATAGATGATTTAAACTATATGGGATGATGTCTGTAGGTTACACACAAATACTATGCCATAAAGGCCTTGAGCATCTGAGGATTTTGGTATCCTTATGCATCCTGGAACCAATCTCCCACATATACAGAGGGCCCAATTCTATTAGGACTCAAAAATATCTTCCAAGCCAACGTCTAAAATCTAAATTGTGATTTCTAAACAATGAATAGTCAAGGCATTATGTTTAATGTGATCATATTTACCCCTTCCACTGTGAATGGAGTGGAAAAAAAAACTTGGTTATTAAAAATCAATTAAAAGTTGTTTGTTTTTATACAGATACTATCATACTATTTATTTATTTATTTATTTATTTATTTATTTATTTATTTATTTATTTGGATTTCTGTTCTAGTTTTCTTTCATTTGAGCAAACAAATGGGTGGTGCTAATGAGCAATATAATAGGATGCTCCAACAGAGTGGGAGGATTGAGTTCTTGATGCCAAAAACCTAGAATATGTGCCTTAGCTCTTTTCTGTGCAGGTTTTATAACCTTGGATAAGTCACTTAACTATTCTGAAATTCATTTCCTCACCTCTGATGGTTTTTGCTCTCTCTTTTTACAGAGATTGCATTCCATAAATGGGCATTTTTCTGCGATAGAGAAAAAGATCATCTGTTAAGTAGATACATCAGATCCCATCTGAGAGCGTGACAAGTACATGGCACTGCACTGCGTGTGGGCGCTGATCTTGGCAGGAATAGTGAGTGCCCTGCTGTCAGAGCCCACGGAGGTAAACCTGAAGGAGTGCTCAAAAAGTCCTTCTGAGAGCATTACCCATCTGGGGAAATTTCTCACCCAACAACAGTGGAAGGATAACTCTGCTTTTCATCGTGGCCTTCTCATCACTTGCACAATATTTATCCCACTTCGAGGTGCCATCTGTGGTGTTTTCCAACATCATTATCTCAGAGGTTGAAGGCACCACACATAATTAGAGTATTTATTATTATGAACACATCTGGTATTTTTGGAATTGTCAAAGAAAATGACAGCTCCTGTAGCCTAATAATTTTCTCCTACACTTTACCATCCTCGATAGTAAAACTCCAGTTGAGGTTGGCACTGGTAAAGTTAAATAAAGGATGCCATATCCATGGGCATCATTATAGAGGCAAAGAAAATGGAAAATTTTGCATTTACATAAACATGATAGTGAGAGTACCTAGCTGATAATATTTTCTCTTTCAGCAGAAATGCAACTCTTTGGACACAGATGTATAAGCATAGAATATTGTGCGGTTGGTTAGAAATTGTCGCACTGTTCTGTTTCTTTTGTTGTTGTTGTTGTTGTTATGACTTCTGTTACGTTTTGAGATTTACAAAATAGATTTTTTTTAAATTAGAAAGCTTCATAATCTTCCCCATTAATATACATGTAACCCCTCACTTCTCTCCAGTATTGCTGGTCTCATTTGTAAGATTGGGTTAAGTGGCTGATCTCTTCACTAGACAACATGTGCTGCTTCTTTGAGGGCAGAGATTATAATGTGTTCATCCATGTGTCGTTACAGTGATTTTCCCCTTATCTTGAAAAAAAAGCAGTCAATGAAACATATTGAATTATAAGTAAGTAGAAACTATTTCTAATGAAAAGACCTAAGGACATTTTAAGAGGAGTTTTGTTTTGTTTTGAACCTAACACTAAACATTTAAACAAAACAACACACATTTCTACTGTCAGTAAGAGGTCATGGTGGGAGATTTCTGTCCCTATTTCACACAAGATAATATTGCACAAAGTATTTACTGATGTCTAAGAACTGAAATATAATAAAGAGATTAGAAAAATAATTTAAACATAATGCTATTTAAACTAAAATATTGGTTCTATTTATACATAAAAGGAAAAACAGCTATTGAGAACAAATCAGTTTTCTAAAGTTTGATTTCTTCATTCCTCTGTCCTTCAGCAAATATTTTCTGAATACTTTCTGCAAATCAACTGTTGAAAATCAGATTTATTGTTTTATAAGTCTCAGAATTGAGTATATTTCCTTCTATGTATTAGAATTAGAATGTTTTAATCAATAATAATATAACAGCTAGAAGAAAGAGCAACAGAGAGAAACAACTCTATTTAAAACTAATTCAGAGAGTTTAATTGGTTTTAAAGTCTAAAACCAATTCTTTTTTATTATTCAATATATACCTTAACTACTGGTTTTTTAAAGACTTCACTCAGAGACACCAAGTATCTCCATAAACTCAAGTCCCACACAATACTTCACTGAAATATATTAAAACTGATATATTTTTAATTTGAACTTTCTCCCAGAATTTCTTATATGATCCTTCTCTCTTTTATTTTTTTAAATTTTATTTCCTTCTCTCCTCTTTTTCTGTTTATTGCAGTAACTTACAAGTTCTTTTTCCCCCAAATCCCCCACTATTTCCCTTCTTTTCATTCTAATCAATGAGATTCTTGAGTGCAAGATAAATACTACCACCCACAGTTCCAAAGTATTACTTGAATAGGCTCTCAATAATTTTTATGTGATTAGTTGACCAAATTTGATCAGTACGACTTAATCCCTGGAAAGTGATCCTGGGGATAAAAAAGGATTAAAAAGAAGAAAAATCTAAGCAATCTGTAAAAATACAAACAAACAAAAAAATCTCACTTTGAGAAAAAGTCTAATTTATTGGGGTCAGACACATGACATTTCGAATTCTGTATCTTCCATTCATGTGTGGAAATGTGGTTAGTATTCCAAAGAGACTTCATGTACTTGAATAAACAATTTAAATTCATACATAGTTTCTATTGAAATGGGTACTCAATAACTGTGTAGGTGACTATTTCTCAAAAGAAGCACTCAACAAGGAACCATAATATTTAATTCCTTTGTAGCACTAATTTAATTTTCTCTTAAACAATATATTGATCAGGGGGAAAAAGTTTGTATTAAATGCCTATCATTTTCTTTGTAGCACTGATTGCATAAAATGAAAAAAAGAAAATGCCACCTTTACTTAAAGCTCATTTTCTTGGTTGTATGAACGACCAGGTTTAACAAGAAAAGAAATACAACTGCTAGTATATCCTAGAGACTGGTTTCATTACATCAAACACATTTTAAATTGCTAAAACTTAAAACTAGCTGGAGAACTAAATGAGAACACATCAAATTGTTAGCTAAATATAGTGCTAAAGGGAGAATATTCTGAAAAGAAGATTGGCTGTTTAGAGATAAAGGAACATTAGGGTCAACCATTAATGTCAAAGGCAAGCAAATACTGTTCCAAATATTCCAAATAATGTGCACTAATAGTGGGTTTGAGCTGGATTCAGGCTAATGCAGGTGCATGTTCAGCAGCTGCGGAGGCAACACACATACACACACATTCACACTAGGCATGCACACAGAGCATAATATAAGCTGGTTCTCTTGAAATGTAGAGGATGGAAAACTGTAAACAGAGAAACCTCAAAAAGTAATGAGCTCATATAAATGCCTGAACACTAGCTCTCCGTCTCCTTGTGATTGTTTAACTCATAGCAGTCCAAGAATTTAAATCATACAATGGACACATACTCAGTCTCAAATTCTAGAACAAAATTTATTCCCTGAAATACTTTCTAGCTAGTGCAGAGATAGAAGGGACAATTTCAAGCAATGAAAACAGCAGCTTTGAAGGTTCTGAAGAGGAAAGGTGTTCCGTGTGCTTGTGCAATAGCTAAGAGGAAAGGATAGTCTGGCTGGAAGGGAGTTGGAGAGGGGAGATCGGTAGAGGCTGAAATGTGATGGAGGAAAGAGGGAGAACACATGGAGCCTTGCCAATTATTTAGAAGAGAGACGTATTCGAGCACAGAGGCCTCACGATTGGGAAAGCAGTATTATGGTTGCTCTGCAGAACCGACTGCTATAAGACAAGCCTGGAAGCAGGAAGATGAGTTTGGAGGTTATAAGAGTAACCCAGGTGAGAAGTAACAGTGGCTCGGACTGTGATGGATTCAAGGCAGGCGAAGAAACATGGAAGATTCCAGGCATTTTTTAGAATAAAGAGGTGGCAATATTTACCAGTGGCAAGAATTTGAAGACAGGGGCTAAAATTTAAAAAAGGGGAAAAGAATCCTAGACAACTCCAAGATTTTCATCCTGAGCAACTGGAAGAATATAGCTCATGTTTACAGAAATAGGACAAACTAGAGAGGAAGCATGTTTAAGAAGGAAAAAACGAGAGCTCCATATTTGGACACATTAAGCTTATAGGCACTTACGGGATATTGGTGGCCAGATGCTACTGATTACCCATCAGAATGCATTCTCTCCCCTTTAACAGCATGTCTCCCGTGTTTCAGCTGGGTGTAGCTTTTAGACCCCCTTGAAACTTGACGTGGCTACGTGACTTGGTCTCTTTTTTTAATAGTAGCTTAGCTAGTTCTTACCTAAATATAACATATAAGTAAAGACATTGACTAGGCAGCTGACCACTATTCTGTATGAGTCTGTCTCAAGGGAGAGTTTATGGATGCAGAAATACAAGAGGGAGTCTTTAGCATCTAGATAGTATTTGAAGACAGGGTACTAGACAAACCACTGATGCCCAGCATTTTCCTCAGAAAAAAATCAGTTTTCTCCACATTCATGGGGCCATTCCATTACAATGAAAGAGACAGTGAATAGGATGGTTTTGTGTTGATTTGTTTCCTTTTCATTGACAAGCCACACACCCATAATACTAATCAGAATACCAGAAAACACTGGTATCCATCCAGCCCAGAGGAGGAAAGGGATCTGTTGTCGTGGAAGAACAAGTCTTATTTTACTAGTCATTGTTTTGCTGTGAAGAAGCTGGACTTTCTCTCTTTTTTTTTTCTTTTTTTTAACGTTCTACTTGGATATTTAAGATGACAGTCTTGGTGCTAAATATAAAGGGTTTCTCTCTGTTAGAGGTCACCTACTGAACAACAGGCAGGCATGTTCTGTTTGATCAGACAATATATTTTTCTAAATTTAATTTGGCTTAAGTAAAGTTTTATCGCTCTGGAAACCATCAAACCTCACAGCGCTCCCTGGTGGTGCTCATCAATCTGATTCACGCGTGAGAACAACTGAATTGGCATGGATAGGTATTCAAGTTTGGGAGTTCAAGCTAAAAATCATTCTTCTTGGCAGAACTGAACCTTTCTGAGAAAAGTGACACAATGCTGTTTTATCTTGCAAATTTGTTTACTTGGTTACTTCAGCCACTGAAACTTCACAGCAAAACGTTAAAGTCTAAATCTATGCATCTCTCCTTACGAAGCCCTGGAAAAAACGTATCTAGGCATCTCCTAGACATACATGACATATTTCTTTCTGCAGACAGTACAGGAAAGGGGAGAGAAGAGTTTCACCAGACTGGAAGCCAGGACCTGAGCTCTGAAAGGCTCAATGGACCATGAAAGGTCAAGGATGGCTTGGGTGTCGATGACCATAGGCGTGAGCATTTTAAGATACCACAGCTGTACTGACACTTTCGTCTGTGAATTTGCTATGTACTTAGCTAAACTTTCCTGACATTTATGTATCTTTTGAAAACTTTGTATCTCGGGTTGACAGAGAATAGCCTTGATTCCTTTTTCTCCTCTAGTAAGGCACCCTGGAATTAAGAACCACTGAATAGTTTTTTCTCCTTGTTATTACACTTGTGATTTAAAATCTATTGAGGAATTTTGGCTCACAAAATCTTACTTAATAAAGTCCTTCAATAATTCACTCTGGGAAAAAAATCTATATAATTAAATAAAATCACAGACATAGCTTATTGCATATCAACGCGTGTAAAACAAATGTCTATGAATAAGTTTTATTGAGCCATGAATCTGAACACCCACTGAATCAGGTTGTTCCCAGATTGGCTCAGCATTTTATGAAACCTATTATTCTTATCTGACATTACTGCAGTATAACAGACCATAGTGGCTTTTGATTACATTCCATTTTATTATTGCTTTGTAGCAAATTGTTCTCACCAATAAGGGATAAAGATACAAAGGCAATTGCAGCACAAACACGAAGACATTTATTTCCTTTTTTTGTGTGGTAAGAGTGTCCAGAAATGTATGAACAACTGGTCTTTTTATTTAACTCATCTTGAAATAATCATGTCACAAATAAAGAATTCATATACGTTACAAGCTAGATAACACACTTAGAAGCTAATAAAATTATTTTTTAAAATTGTGTGCTTTCACTAAGATGGAACAAATACGTTAAATATTAGCTAAAATATAAGTTTATATATAAGTAAATTATTAGACTACTATAAGTAAACTGAATACTGATGTTTATACATCCTTATTTTGTTGTGATAGTCTTCAATGTATTCATAGTGGAGGAATATTCCCTGCAATAAATATCCACAAGCTATTTGAAATTCATGCGTTTTTCCACTTTCTTTTTGACAAATATCTCCTGGCAGTGAGGAAGTGCAACAGTGTAGATTTGATTTATGTGTTCAATTCCTTTAAAATTTTTCTTTGTCCATGACTGTTATAAGGTCATGATAATATATATATCCATATATATCTGTGGGTGTCTGCGTAGCTCTCTGTGTGTCCATTACTTTTCCAGTTACATACTAGACGTGATAACTAAGATAAATTAACAAGAATGTCTTAATTTAACTCTCAATTAATAGACGTTCCAACGCCTGGATAACTCTCCTATACAAATTAACTTTAATAAATTTAAATGGTCATATCTTGTAAATGACTGGCTTGTAGTTTGATTCTGCTCTTTTACAGAGTTATAAAAGTTTTATCCCCCTTGCCATGCTACAAAACATTATATTGTGATTTTTGTTATTCTATTTTAAAAACTGTTTCCCATTATCCAGATGGTAGCAGCATGGGACCTATGTAACTAAAATGTTTTAGAAGTTATTTCATAAGGGGACAATAGGTCTATATTAGAACATTTCTTATCCTTCTCAAAGATTACTCTTTTACTCAAAAATAATGTGACAAAATTCTTTTACTTTATTCATACTTGATAAAACAGGGTAGTGCCAACCAAACTGAACCATTTCTTGGTAATAACCATCATTCTTGTTTGGGAACATCATGGCCTGCAGCATCAACATTTACGAGAACAAAATACATTTGCTTTCATTACATATTTCCAACTATCTGTTTTCACTAGAAAATGACTCTATAATTTATGTAAGTAAGGAACATGTCAGCTTGCTGTCTGTATTTCAGAAATATTCTACAGTGTGTATAAACTGATAACCAATGTCAATTTGAAGACCCTCATAGACTTTTTTAAAGTTAATTTAATTTCTCTGATGAAAGAATGAACATCTTCATTTGGCCACTCCTCACAATTTAGCATGTCAGTATTTTATTAAATATTTTAATGTCAGTATCTCTGTAAACTTACTAAATATTTTAATGTCAATATCTGTGTAAATATCCATGTAAATCTGTGCAGAATCCAATGTAAAACTGAAATGAAAAATAACATGGAAGAGAAAATGGACCTAGAAACAAACAAAAAAAGAAACTGGGAAAATGCTTTGAGATGTTGTTTCACTCTCAGACTCTAACTCTTAGTTTCGTATCTGCAAAATTGAGATACGATGTGATCTCATGAGGCTGTAGTGAGGAATAAATAAGGAAATATATGCAAAATATTAAATATAGGGTGTGGCTTTTGGAGGTCAATCAATGAATGCTTAAAAATGTTTAAAAGCAATGAAATATTGCCTGGTGTAACACAAGTGGGACTAGATAGGAACTACTCACTTCCCACAGCAACTAGCTGTTGCCGTGGCGTCTGTCACAAATGGGGTGCTGTTTTACTCATTTACAAAATGAGGAAATTGAATGTGAGCATCTCTAAATCTCGGAGTGTATAAATTAGAAAATGAACTATGTCAGAAATTTTCTTTGAGATGAGATTAAAGGTGTAAAATGAGAAAATTTTTAAATGAGAAAAGAATAGCTCAGGCAAAACAATAGGAAATAAATAATTTAACAAGATAAGACATCAAAAAGGAAAATTAAAATCAAAAAATAAATGGAGAAAATGAGGAAAAGCAGTCAAATACTCAAGGCCAAGAGATATAATCTTATGGAAGAATGATACAAAGTGCCTTGGCATAAAGAGAAACAAAAATATACAAATGGAGCCACGTGAAGGCCAAGTTGAAAGACTGATAATGAAAGTAAATATTTGAAAAGACAAAAAAAAACATTAATAATACATTTGGCAGTTTGACTGAAACATTATGCTGCACACCAGAAATTGATGCAACTTTGTAAACTGTCTACACTTCAATAATGATAATAATAATAACAACAACAACAACAATAATAATAATAATACATTTGGCAGGAAGCCAAGATAGAAATACAAGAAAAGTGTAAAATTTCATGTTGGGGGGGACTTCACTTTATGCGACCTAAGTTTTCTGTATGTCAATAGGAAGTTGTTTTTTTTTTTAAACAAAGGACAGCTTATCTTTGGGATATTATCACATAAGTGCTTTTGTAATTGAAGTAAATGAAGGCCTGGACTCAATGCTACAATCATGCTATGAGTTACAAACTTTAATACATGGTTCTTGCATAACAATCAGAGCTAGAAAAGACCTTTGATTAGTCAGGTCATCTGTTTTTTAATTTTTACTGAAAGTTTCTCTTTTAGGCTTTTATTAATTCATTCAACATTTATCAAAAGCTACAACAACACAGCAAGAATATTCAGAGGTAGAGATAAATCAGACATGATACCTGTATTTGAGAAGGTTTTAATTAAGTAGAGAGATATGTGGAAAATTAAGTGTTATAGGTAAAATGAAAAACATTTGTATAGAGTTAAATGTTTATAGAAGTGGAAATACACACAACAGCAAAATTGAACATAAATATGCTTAAGAGTAACATACATTTTTCATACATATAATGCAAATAAAATGATCATTTGAAACATAATTTAATTTCTTAAAGTTTATACATTTCACTGTTTTGAATATCTTTTCTTACTAATAAAATTGATTGATAATATTGTTATACCTATTTTATGGAAAGAAAAAGGACAAAGGAGTTCAGTGGCATTTCTGGTCTACAGAACATGTTGGTATATGCATTCGATTTAAAATTCCAACCATATTTTCTTGACTACTGCCTATCTTTATATCTAATATTCTGAGAATTTTGATGGGAAAGTAAAGACAAAGACTTTAGAGCAGCAGACATAATAATATTGGCTTCCTCAGTGACCTAGGTATCTGTCTAAATGTGCCAATCTTAATTTGTTTCAGTGCTCTGTACTTAGTCCCAAATACTAAGTCTTTTCTTATCAATACTTTGTGTTCTAATATTACCATCAAGCCCTAAAGTCATAGCTTTTGGTACTTAGATGAAGGTGGTGCTGTCCTAGCATTCCTTGGTGGGTAGTAATTTATTTTTCCAACTCAGATTACACCATTTTCTCACAGCAATCATTCACTCCCTTCAAAAATGATCTTACTTAAAATATCACATCAACATTTTATCCTGCATTAGATTAAATGTTTTGTTTTCATTTTTAATTTTTAAATTTAATTTAACCAACATTTTATTAGAGACATCACTACATTACTAAATATTTTGTTTTTAAACAGCACATAGCAGCTAAATTGACAGAGATCAAAGTATACATTCAAATCTAACACTCATTATTTTCAGAACAACTTTTTTGCATGAAGTTCATACTACTGAAATTTACAATAGTTGTATATGTCTAAGCTAGTATAAACTGCCCGATGATTCCACTTTATCTAATTTAAGTAATATTCATGAAAATCAAAATAATAGTAAAGAGCAACATTAAAAATCAATCTGCTAATACGTCTTTGAAAAATTCTTAGTTCTAGAATCTATACTAATTACTTTAAAACTACAAACTTATTAATTCTTGCTTTGAAGGTTTTTCTTAACCAAGAGCCTGAACAAATTATATATAGTATATTTCATAGTAAACTAAATTTATACTGTATTATTTGCTTCCATAATTTCAACTATTCAAATGTAATCACAGTTAAACACTATTTTATATAATCTATACTAAATTAAAAATATCTAGGGTGCTAGCATCTCAATTACTGAAAATAAGCAAAGTTTATGCCATCAGATAAAATTATTTTTAAATAGTAAGGTCCATGTGAATACTTCATATTAATCTATAGGTTTTATATAAGCAAAAGAAAGATAAGAAAAAAAATAATTGCAAGAAAGTGTTAGAGTATGTTATATAAAATTATAATTAGGACTTGAAAAATAAAAACAAAAACAAGATGTCATTTTTCATCCACACAATGGTTAAAAATATTAGGATCTGATCTAAATTGAATATTAACAAAAGTAAATCAGTGAATGATACAAAGAGCCTTGGGCTAATAAGAAACACACAAAGAAAAAGTCAATGTGTAACTATGTTATCTCATCTATTCCCTGTATGTATGTGAATTTGTTTAGACATTTTGCAGGGCATTTTGAAGATATCTATTAACATTTAAAATGTCTATGAACCAATTTTTATTAGCTGGCATAAGGCAGCATATTTAAGGAAAAGACTTTGGATGGAACATTCTGTTGAAGAGAATATTGATGATGTACTCATATCATGGTACATAAATACTACAAAATATAGACTGCTAAAGGGAACCAGGTGGATCTGTATGTGTTAATGTTTAAGGATCACCAAAACCTTTTTATGAAAATGAAAACATAAAATTTATAGAAATCAACCTACCACATTGATATCAGAGATTACCACTAAGGGTGGGAGTGGGTAGGCAGGACTGGGTGAGGGGTTGTCAAGGATGGTGTGAGGATCCTAAACCAAGATCTTCTGCAAACCTCCCACTGCGGACAGATCAGGGTGTAAGAACAAGAAAACTGAGCTGAAATGTTCTCAGAGGGTTTGGGGCTTGTGAATGGTTTATCTTCTTAAATTAGCCCTAGATTTTACAGATTCTTCTAAATGTAGTTCTTATCCTTTTCCCCTTCCCATAGAAGGCCATCTCATTCTGAAATTCTTCCCAAAGATGTTCTTTTTCCAATCATGAATCAACAAGTAGGAAGAGCTCTAGCTGGGTCTGTGAATTACTGCATTTAATTTTCAGTTTTTCATTGGCAATTTCCAAAGTAATTAACATGTTTCACAGTTTGTCAACAATAGAGAGCAATAAATCTTCCCTCAAGATTTCCAAGTTCCTTCCGACTGAGGAAAAAGGTTAAATTTGGGAGCAGGTGACTAATGTGATTATACACACTGAGATACCCAGCTGACCTTCTACCTAAAACTAACTCCCTCTATGAAGGAAGGGAGGAAGTGTAAGAAAATCCTCTCATTTCCACTTTCCCATGTAATTAGTCTTCCATTTCCACTCCTGCATTGCATGATCCCAAGACACGGAATATACAGATAAGAAATAATTACTTACATAAATTGTTTTATTCAGATTCTCTTAAATAGGAGGTTAAGCTTTTACTCCCGCTAGAGCCAGGTTGTATGGGTTTGAAATCTGAATCAACCACTTAGAGCATTGCTGGGCATACTACTTTTCCTCTACACATATGAATGTCCTCATCTGCAAAATGTGACCGCTTGAAATGTTCTAATATTTTTTATCAGTTTTAAATGAAATAGAATTTGTAATATTCTTGGCCCAATGCCTGACTATTTTTGTTTCTAAATAAGTTTTTTAAATAGATTTTAAAATCATTTGCATTTTAAATAGAGATATTATTTTATAAGACTTCATAAACTCCATATGATATTAAATATAGATAAACTACCCCCCACGTTATAGAGTTACATGATACCATAGAGGGAGAAATCTAAAATCAAGCCAAGAAAATGGATGTGTATGCCATTGGATGACACAGTAGTCACTTAAAAGGTAAATACAATAAAAGAATGGGTGGAAGAAATAGAAAATAACTCTTGTAAATGTGCAGGAACATGTAGAGTTTTTATTTATTCCCATCAGTTCTCATGATACTTGTCTTCTGGGGCTTGCAAAACGCAACAGTTTAAAGTTGTCACTGACCACAAGAAGGGTTAGTACTTTTTAATCTTTTTAATCCACAACATTTAGTGTTCAGGTTTCAGGCATACCATAAAAGTGATTAGTGTTCTAACTCGTCAGAAGTGAGAAGTTGTTTATGGTTCCATTTCCATGCATGGCCTGTGATAAACAGATCCCAGAGAATAGCTGGGATCGGGCCAGGGCAGGCCATTCAATACGTAGACTTACTTTCACATGCTGTGAAGGAAAAATGCATGACCTCTGCCAAGTCCATTGATCACAATCCCAGAAAATAATATCTACTCTGCAAAATCTCCCTATAAAATACAGAATATTATAAATAACCACGAGTCCCTTTGGATTGTGCAGCACTATTCCATTTTACTTAAGAATCTCTTTCCATGTGTGTGTAATAAATCATAACTTTGTTGTAAGCTCGGTTCTAAATTAATCCACTGTGGTTAAAAGACAAAAATTACTATTGTTTGAAAAATGCAATTGATGTGAGCATTGACATGAAAGTGCCATTTAATATAATTTACAGGCAATTATACAATAAAGAATGTAGTCAAATATGTCCAGCTCCAAAACAGTCCTTTATACTTACTGCACATCAGAAAGCCCAATGGATTTGT